TATTTTACATATATAAAATATACAATATACTACGTAGGTATAACATATGGTTATATAAATATATATAATTATATATCATTTATATAATATACATATTTATGCATTTTTATATATTTCATATATATAAAATATACATGTATACAATATATATAATATATATTATAAATATCGTATATATATTTTATATGTATCATATTTATATATAAACTAAAATCCCTGGTTAGTTGCCATAAAACCATTTTTTTCCTTCTGCAAGGCAATTTTTTAAAAAATATCAAAATTTCAAAGACAAACCATCCTGTTTTCTGCCCAGTTTTGCTTTCAGACACTTTCAGACTTGTCTCAGAAAAAATACAACTAAGAATCACCCGAATGAAAATGAAGAAAAGATGTTTGGTCTTTCTGAGACCTCTGTACTCAAATGTGCAGTGACTTTGCCATTAAACATTTTCTGCTGAAGAAATTGGCAAAAGCTACATTTTTTCTCCATCTAGTAATTTGGTTCAGACTGGGATTTTTGGCCAACTTCTTTTGAAAATTACAAAGACAGACAAACAACGTTCCCGGCAGCGTTTTCAACACAATAATCTCCATTTCTGACATGACTTACCTGGACAACGGGATCTTTAAGATGCCCCTGAAAACTTTTGGTTAAGATCCCAGGGACATGCCATTTTACCCCAAAGTTGGCCGCGACTTCACCCCCGCTCGCGGCCGAGGACGGGCTGCCATTTCTCCCCACAGGACCCCATGGAGAAGTCCCTGCTCCTCACCGAGGGCGACAGACTTAGTCCTCAGGACTAAGAGTTGGAGGACTTAGACCTTAGACTAACGACTAATTTTTTTAACAAAGACAAAAATTGACTTTCTTAGAGATCTAAGACTGGGTTTCTGAAATAGACTCTCTGAGACCACAGACACATTTCCTGGCCAAATTTTAAGATCTTTCAGTCAAGAAAATACCCCCCAGTCCTCTGAGGCGTGCACCAGAGCCCTCTGAGTCCACAGGGACAAGACAGAGCCCTCAACGCCGCGTTTAATGCCCGTCCCTGAACCGCCGGCAGACCCCAGCCCAGCGCCAAGTCCGAGAAAACCCCCAAAAATCACCAAAAATCGACAAAATGTCACAATTTCGCGGTGGGGAAGGAAAGACCGAGAAGAAATCGGCTACTCACTCAGGACGGTCAACATGGTCCCGGGCCCGAATACAGCACACAGTGATACAGGGCCATGCAAAAACCTTCTGCCCCGTGGGAGGAGCAGTCTTGGGCCCCCTGGATGTGGCATGTTGGAGATGATGAGATGGAGATGCCCCAATGGATGCAGCAGGAGGGAGATGATGGGATGGAGGTGTCCCCACTGGACACAGCAGGATGGAGGTGTTCTGATGGACATGGCAGGACAGAGGTGATGGGATGGAGGTATCCCCACAGGACACAGCAGGATGGAGGTGTTCCGATGGACACAGCAGGATGGAGGTGATGGGATGGAGGTGTCCCCACAGGACACAGCAGGATGGAGGTGTTCCGATGGACACAGCAGGTTGGATGCATGGTGCTGATATGTCCCAGTGGAGGTGGCAGGGCAGTGGCAGCAGGACAGCCATATGAGGAAAACTGTATGTCCTTGCTTGAGGGGCCACGGGAAAATGGGTGGCCTTGTCACCACCATCCTTCATTGACTGCGTTGGCCAGGCTCTCCAGAGCTGTGGCTGTGCCATTGTCCATTCCAGGGACTCACTGCTGCCCAGGACCACAAGCCTTGTGCTTGTTACAAGCCCAAGGCCATGCCGGCGTTGTGGGGATGTTAATCCCAGGTGAGGAAGGGCTGGTGGAGGCTTTGGGTGCCTCTAAGACACCCTGCTGTTGCCATGCAGGTGGCTGTGGGATGCTCTGCAGGGCACTGGCCACTGTCCTGCCACCCCTCAGGCCATACTATGGCTGTGGCCAGGACAAATGGGGACCACCAGGCCATTGGAGAATAAGTGTGGGGGTAAACCTCATGAATAAACTATCCATCCTTCCTCCCAGCGCTGCCACAGGTGCTGCGGTTCCACAGGGGACCCTACCACCCTGCAGCCTGCCTCTGCTCTCCAGGGCAAAACCGGACCCCAGCACAGCCCACGTCCTTACCTGGGCAGGATTTTTGGTGCCTGGTGGGTGGCAGAGCTGGGTCAGGGTGCCCCTGGCAGGGGAGTGGAGAAGCCCTGGCTGCCGTGCCAGAGCTCAGCCCTGTGCTGGGGGGGGCACTGGACCATCCCACCGAGGGTAAATAACCACTTCCCCCCATCACACCCGGCATCTCAGCACCAGTAAAGGCACTGGTGCGGGGCTGGCTCCAGTGGTTGGGGAGTTCAGAGGCCCCCCCAAGCCCAGGGAGCCTGCCAGCTGTGAGGGAGCATCCCCACGGTGAGGGATGAGCCAGGGGGGAGGGGTTTCATTAAAGATCTATAGGGCTGGCTCCAGTGGGAGGAAGTTCAGAGCCCCCCCAAGCCCAGGGAGCCTGCCAGCTGTGAGGGAGCATCCCCATGGTGAGGGATGAGCCAGGCGGGAGGGGTTTCATTAAAGATCTATTAACTTCAAATTCCCCAGGGGAGGCCTGGCTGCTGCTTTGTAAAGCTTATTCCCACGGTGGTGGCAATCTCCTGGGGCACAGGCCACTTGGCTCGGGGCAAATCACCTCTCAGAGCCCTGGACTTCTATCGCACCAACTTAAATTGAAGTCCAAAATATGCAAATGTGGTGGTTTGTGGAAGTGGTTGTAGAAAGAGGCAGGGTCAGTGAACCTGCCCAGTCACTCGAAAATAAGTGATGCTTCGAAGATTTTTGTGGTTTGAGGCACTTTCACTTGCAGAGGTTTGGTTTTCCTCTAGGGAGGCTTATGTGTTGGTGCAAAGGCTGAAACTAGCCCAAAAAAAACCATCACTGAAATGTTCTATGCAAAGTGTTTAGCTGAATCTGATGCCATCCATTGTGGACAACCAGTTTCTGACCGTTTCACAGACTTCAATGAGGTTTTAGTCCCATTTTAGGGAGGGCAGTAAAGGGGGACAATGTTCAGCTCCAAAGTCCAGCTCCTCTCCTTGGAAGGAGGCATGAAGAAGGACTGACACCGTGCTGGACCTACCAGGCACCCCTCTGGCACCTCGGCAGAAGCAGGGGCAGGTGAGGGGCTGCTGGTCCCGGGGGGACACTAGGGATGCTACACACAATGGCATAGAGGGGACAGTCAGAGACCTGGGTCACTAAGGGATGGCTGAGCCAGTCACACCAGGCACAGCCACCTGCAGCACAGGGCAGCAAGGACAGGGCCATGGCAGGGACCTGCCCCAACCATCAAACAAGGACAGAAGAGACCCCTGACTGGCCCCTGCAGTCGCAGGAGGTTTTTGTATCACTTCCCCATTGCTCCGAGTCACCGTGGGATCATTGTAGCTGCTGTCGTAGCCACCACAGAAATAGACGGCCTCGTCCTCGGCTTGGACCCCAGTGATGGTTAACGTGCCCGTGGAGCCAGACTTGGATCCGGAGAATCGCGGAGGGATGCCCGAGGGTCTCTTGTCGTTCCAGTAGATCACAGTGACAGGGGCAGTGCCAGGGACCTTCTGCTGGTACCAGCCATAGCTGCCGCTAGCACCGGAACAGGTGATGCTGACGGTTTTTCCCACATCCACTGACAAATCGGTCGGCTGCTGAGTCAGCGCTGCCTGGACCAGGGAACCTGGAGAGGGAGAGGAGAGAGGGGAGAAGACGGGGGTCAGCCAGTGCCCCACGAGCACAGCCCTCCCCGGGCAGTGGGACAGGGACCCTGTCCCCAGAGGCCCCCGCCGGGCACAGCCAGTCTGGCCAGGGCACCTGAGACATGGGCGAGCACCGCCAGGAGGAGAGGGGTCCAGGCCATGGCGCAATCCCACCAGCTACGTGTCCCCACGCCGATGGGCCTGTCTCGCGGACCCCGACTCCCTTTTAACCCCCCGGCCGCCCGGGGCACGGCCCCTCCATGCAAATCTGAGCCCGCGCTCGGGGTCAGACCCTGCCCCCTCTTCTCTCCCCACCTCCCTGCCCGCCCAGCCCCACCACCCCAGACGCAGTGGGGCTTGTCGCTGGGCACAGAGTGGAGACAGAGTGACGTGTCCCAGCTTGGAACCCCAAAGGTGCTCGCCCAGACCCCCTGTCCCCAGTCCAGACCCCCTGTGCCCAGTCCAGGCCGAGCAGCTGCAGGGCCAAGGGCTGCGGGAGAGCCGGGCACTGGGCAGGGAATGGTAGGAGGGGGTCGGCAGCATCTGCAGCTCCAATATCCCCACCATGAGGGACTGGGGTGAGAAAATGAGCCAGTGTCCATGCCAGGGATGGAAGGAAGGGCCCTCACCCCACCTATTGCCACTGGGGTGGGTTTTTGGATTCCACACAGGCCAAACTAGGGTCTCCCATGGGGAAAGGGCTAGGGAAAGGCAGGAGCAAAGCTCCCGTTCCATCCCCCTGAGATCTTCAGCTGAGTCTTATCTGCAACCGATGACCATCTGGGACCTTAACACAGAGGGGGTGAGGGGAGCAGGGCCAGGGAAGTCAGAGTAGCCCTTGCCCTTGACTCAGTGCCACCCTGCCCTCCTGGCCCCAGCCCATGGTGCGTGGCCCTCCCTGCAACACCACGGTCCCTGGCACAGAGCTGGGGGACAAGGCCACCTGGCTGCCCGTATGGCCACTCCTGACACCTCAAATGCAGCCCCCATGGGACCAGGTTCCCGACCCACAGCCTGGCCCTATTGTACACCCTCACCTCCAGCCTGTGTCCCCTGACCCATCACACTCCTGGGGACACAGCAAATGTCACAGCTGTGATCCCTGACACAGCATCCCATGACATGGAGGGGCCATCACCTTTGTCCCCAGCAGTATCTCCAGTCCCCATGTCCCACAGGAGGACGGGGAGGGGGTCAGGGTTCTGGGCAGCCCGCTCCAATATCCCCACCATGAGGGACTGGGGTGAGAAAATGAGCCAGTGTCCATGCCAGGGATGGAAGGAAGGGCCCTCACCCCACCTATTGCCACTGGGGTGGGTTTTTGGATTCCACACAGGCCAAACTAGGGTCTCCCATGGGGAAAGGGCTAGGGAAAGGCAGGAGCAAAGCTCCCGTTCCATCCCCCTGAGATCTTCAGCTGAGTCTTATCTGCAACCGATGACCATCTGGGACCTTAACACAGAGGGGGTGAGGGGAGCAGGGCCAGGGAAGTCAGAGTAGCCCTTGCCCTTGACTCAGTGCCACCCTGCCCTCCTGGCCCCAGCCCATGGTGCGTGGCCCTCCCTGCAACACCACGGTCCCTGGCACAGAGCTGGGGGACAAGGCCACCTGGCTGCCCGTATGGCCACTCCTGACACCTCAAATGCAGCCCCCATGGGACCAGGTTCCCGACCCACAGCCTGGCCCTATTGTACACCCTCACCTCCAGCCTGTGTCCCCTGACCCATCACACTCCTGGGGACACAGCAAATGTCACAGCTGTGATCCCTGACACAGCATCCCATGACATGGAGGGGCCATCACCTTTGTCCCCAGCAGTATCTCCAGTCCCCATGTCCCACAGGAGGACGGGGAGGGGGTCAGGGTTCTGGGCAGCCCATAGCTGTCATGGGGCCATGGTGGGACATTGCCCAGGGCCAGGGGCTTCCCATGGTGGCAGCTGCTGAAGGTCTCCTGCACAGGCTGAGCATGAGCCCAACGGGCCACAACTAGGCAAACACAGCCAAGGCCGGAGAAGCCCATGGGCTCCTCTTGCAGCCCCACAGAGCAGCCCCCGGCCCACCCTGCTCTGCCCTGGCAGCTTCACACACGGCCATGGGGCTGCTGCACCCACGGGAAAACTCCCTTCCTGGGGAATGAGGACAAAGCTTCGTCCCAGCTCCCAGCCCATGGCACGTCCCACCACTCGGTGCTGGGGCTGCCATTTCATCAGGGCTGAACCCCCTGGGGAGTTGCCCCAGGGGCTCCTGGCGCAGCCGGGCTAAGAGGGCAGGGAGGCAGCCGGCAGGGCCCTGGCTGCCTGCTCTGGAGCACAGGGGACCTCGGCCCTGCTGTACGGGACAGGGACAGGGCTGCTGGGGGCAAACCCACCCCAAATGAGAGGGGACGGGCACAGACCTGGGTCACTAAGGGATGGCTGAGCTGGGACAACAAGAGCAGCCACCTGCAGCACAGGGCAGCAAGAGCAGGGCCATGGCAGGGACCTGCCCCAACCATCAAACAAGGACAGAAGAGACCCCTGACTGGCCCCTGCAGTCGCAGGAGGTTTTTGTATCACTTCCCCATTGCTCCGTGCCACTGTGGGAATATAATTGCTGCCGTCGTAGCCACCACAGAAATAGACGGCCTCGTCCTCGGCTTGGACCCCAGTGATGGTTAACGTGCCCGTGGAGCCAGACTTGGATCCGGAGAATCGCGGAGGGATGTTCGAGGGTCTGCTGCTGCTACCATAGACATGTAGCTGCTGCTGCTAAACCCGGAGCAGGTGATGGTGACGGTTTTTCCCACATCCACTGACAAATCGGTCGGCTGCTGAGTCAGCGCTGCCTGGACCAGGGAACCTGGAGAGGGAGAGGAGAGAGGGGAGAAGATGGGGGTCAGCCAGTGCCCCACGAGCACAGCCCTCCCCACGCAGTGGGACAGGGAAGGCCACAGTTGGAGGAGAACAGACTCAGATACAGTCACAGGCACATTTGGGGAGCTGAGCCCAGTCAAACACCCCCTGGGACAGAGGCAGCTCTGGCACCAGCACAAGGACACAGTCCTCAGCAGCAAGGGGCAGTAGGAAGGGCGAGAAGACCAAGCTGTGAATCTTGTAGGGACAAGGACAATAGTCTGAAGCCACGGAGTCACCACCAGTGCTCTGGGACATGAAAGGGACGACATTGACAGCCACGGCTGTGCAGGGGGACAGGACCCTGCCTCAGACCCACAGCTCTGCTCGGCCAGGAGGGAGAGGGGCTGAAAACCTTCATCTGGCTTTCAAGTCCTCACTTCCTATTCCTCATTGTCACCAGACACCAGTCCAGCTGCTGCTGCTGCTGTCCACGCCACCACAGAAATAGACGGCCTCGTCCTCGGCTTGGACCCCAGTGATGGTTAACGTGGCCGTGGAGCCAGATGCAGAACCGGAGAATCGCGGAGGGATGTTCGAGGGTCTCTGGTTGTCCTTATAGATCACAGTGACAGGGGCAGTGCCAGGGACCTTCTGCTGGTACCAGCCGCAGCTCAGCACCCGGAGGCACAGCCCAGCACCATGTCAGCTCTGGGTGCCCCAGCCAGGGATGCGGACAGATGGCAGCGAGGCCAGGGAAGGGCCTGAGGGTGATGATAGACTCAAAGCATCACTCATGCGGAGAGAGAAAGCTCAGGCTGGGATGAGTGAGGCAAAGGCAGGAGCCTCAGGAGTGTCTTATCAACATTACAAATATCTCCGAGGGGCAGGAGAGGAGATGGAGCCAGGCTCCTCTCAGAGGTGTCCACTGACGGCACGAGAGACAAGGGGCACAGGCTGAAATGCAGGATCCACTGATGGCACAAGAGACAAGGGGCACAGGCTGAAATGCAGGAAAACATGCCTAAACAGAACAAAAACTTTTTTTCTGCTGAAGGACAAGAAAACTCTAGAATGGGTTGCCCAGAGCTCTGTGACATCTCTATCCTGGGAGATCTTCAAAACCTGCCTGGACAGGCTGCGGCCAACCTGCAGCAGCCAACCCAGCTTCGAGCAGGGAGTGGGATGAGACCATCTCCAGAGGCACCTCCAGCCCCATTCTGCAGCTTTCCCCAGCCCCAGCAGCACCCTCTGGCTTTGCTGCTTTTCTGCCCTGGCTCTTCCCCTGCCAGCCCAGCCCTCGTCCCTCAAGAACTTTGCTCTTCCCAGTTCTCCAGGCTCCAGCGATGCCTCCCCACAAGCTGATCCAGAGCCCAAGGGACCAGCACTGGGCAAACTCTGCCAGAGCCAGGGCAGCCCAGGGGCTCTGCTCACAGCCATTGGGGCAGCCCCTGGCCAGCCCTGCTCTGACCCAGGGCACAGGGATCACAGCCGCCTTCAGCAGCCTCGTGCCCAGCCCAAGAACTGGGGGAAATGCCCACATCTCTACGAACGCCCATCCCTGACGCTGCCCTCCCTGGGGTGCCCAGGGCACAGAGACTCAAGGGGAAGGGGCAGGGCAATGCTGCAGAGGGGCTGCCTCCCTGCGGGCAGCACGGAGGGGACCGGCTGGAGCAGAGCATGTGTCCCAGGGCAGGAGCCACCTCGCAGGCACCTGGGCTGCTCCACTACCATGTCCAACCAGCAGCAGCCGGCAGCAACCAGAGACCCTGGGACAGCAATGGGTCTGGATCTCATATTCCCCGTGCTGGGGGTCACCAGGACCCTGACCAGCACCCGTATCCCTGCCAGCACAGAAAGAGACGGCCTCTGCCTCAGCTTGGACCTCAGGGATGGTTGACATGGCCATGGAGAATGGCACATTCCCAAGTCATGGACATCGCTTCAGCAAGTGAGAGGGGATGGGCACAGACCTGTCAGAGATGGGACAACAGATACAGCCACCTGCCGCACAGGGCAGCAAGGATAGAGCCATGGTGGGGACCTGCCCCACCATCAAAAGGGGGGCAGCAGAGAATCTTGAGTGGCCCCTGCGATGGCGGGAGGTTTTCATATCACTTCCCTATTGCTCTGTGTCACCTGAGCAGCATTGCTGCTGCTGTCCAAGCTACCACAGAAATAGACGGCCTCGTCCTCGGCTTGGACCCCAGTGATGGTTAACGTGCTCGTGGAGCCAGACAAGGATCCGGAGAATCGTGGAGGGATGCCTGAGGGTCTCTTGTCATTCCAGTAGATCACAGTGACAGGGGCAGTGCCAGGGACCTTCTGCTGGTACCAGCCAGTATAACCATAGCTGCTGTCAACCCCGGAGCAGGTGATGGTGACGGTTTTTCCCACATCCACTGACAAATCGGTCGGCTGCTGAGTCACTGCTGCCTGGACCAGGGAACCTGGAGAGGGAGAGGAGAGAGGGGAGAAGACGGGGGTCAGCCAGTGCCCCAAAAGCACAGCCCTCCCCACGCAGTGGGACAGGGACCCTGCCCCAGAGGCCCCCGCCGGGCGCAGCCAGTCTGGCCAGGGCACCTGAGACATGGGCGAGCACCGCCAGGAGGAGAGGGGTCCAGGCCATGGCGCAATCCCACCAGCTACGTGTCCCCACGCCGATGGGGCTGGGACATGCACCCTCACCCAGCTTTGACCCAGCTCCCAGCCCATGGCACATCCCCCACATCCCAACTCGGTGCTGTGCCCGCAGTTTCACCAGGGTTGAACTCCCCTGGGGGGATGCCCCGGGGGCTCCTGGTGCAGCCAGGTTGGGAGGAGGGCAGGGAGGCAGCCGGCAGGGCCCTGAGTGCCGGCTGGGGAGCACAGGGGACCTCGGCCCTGCTGTACGGGACAGGGACAGGGCTGCTGGGGGCAAACCCACCCCAAATGAGAGGGGACGGGCACAGACCTGGGTCACTAAGGGATGGCTGAGCCAGTCACACCAGCCACAGCCACCTGCAGCACAGGGCAACAACGGCAGGGAAATGGGGAAGATCTGCCCCACCATCAAACAGGGACAGCAGAGACTCCTGACCGGCCTCTGCGATGGAGGGAGGGTTTTGTGTCACTTCCCCATTGCTCTGAGTCACCATTGTAGCTGCTGTCGGAGCTACCACAGAAATAGACGGCCTCGTCCTCGGCTTGGACCCCAGTGATGGTTAACGTGGCCGTGGAGCCAGACTTGGATCCGGAGAATCGCGGAGGGATGTTCGAGGGTCTCTTGTCGTTAGTGTAGATCACAGTGACAGGGGCAGTGCCAAGGGACCTTCTGCTGGAACCAGGCATAAACACCGTTGGTTCTCCCACAGCAGATCTGCGAGGTGTTCCCCAGGGACACAGACACTGGGGTGGCTGAGCCAGACCCGTGGGAGTGCAAGGGGCCGAGGCAGGAGCTCTCCTTGCCCACCCGCAGTGCCTGAGGCTCCCATGGGCTGGCAAATTGGAGACTAGATTAGATACCAGAAAGAAATTGTTTCTTGTGTGGGCAGTGAGTGCCTGGCCCAGGTTACCCAGGGAAGTTGTGGCTGCCCCATCCCTGGAGGGGTTCAAGGCCAGGTTGAAGGGGGCTTGGAGCAACCTGGGGGGTGTCCCTGCCCAGGGCAGGGGGGGTGGAACTCAATGATCTTTAAGGTCCTTACCAACTCTAACCATCCTATGATTCTATGACTCAAATGCCCAGACATCCAGCCCCACACGCCCAGGGGCCTGCAATGCTGCAGGACCCCAAGCAACACTGAGCCTGGGCAGGAGAAGTGGGACAAAGCTTTTCCCAGGCAGCTCCGCAGGTTCAAGCTCCTGACACTGTCCCAGGCTCCTGTGCCCCACACATGATACTGGGCAGGGGGACCAAGCTCAGCCAGGGCCACATCACTGGGGACACAGTGACAACCCTGAGACATGGGACACATGCCGAAGGGCACCAGGAGGGAAACATAAAACCCCAAAGATGGTGAGAGGGTCCTTCCTGGCTGAGAGGAAGAAGATGAAACCATGCTCTTTGACACTCAAGGTCTCGATTGTGCCTCGGTGTCACAATGAGATCAGCGCTGCTGCTGTCCTCGCTGCCACAGAAATAGACGGCCTCGTCCTCGGCTTGGACCCCAGTGATGGTTAACGTGCCCGTGGAGCCAGACTTGGATCCGGAGAATCGCGGAGGGATGCCCGAGGGTCTGTTGCTGTTACTGTAGATCACAGTGACAGGGGCAGTGCCAGGGACCTTCTGCTGGTACCAGCCATAGTTGTTGCTACTCCCAGAGCAGGTGATGGAGACGGTTTTTCCCACATCCGCTGACACCTCGGTCGGCTGCTGAGTCAGCGCTGCCTGGACCAGGGAACCTGGAGAGGGAGAGGAGAGAGGGGAGAAGACGGGGGTCAGCCAGTGCCCCACGAGCACAGCCCTCCCCACGCAGTGGGACAGGGAAGGCCACAGTTGGAGGAGAACAGACTCGGATACAGTCACAGGCACATTTGGGGAGCTGAGCCCAGTCAAACACCCCCTGGGACAGAGGCAGCTCTGGCACCAGCACAAGGACACAGTCCTCAGCAGCAAGGGGCAGTAGGAAGGGCGAGAACACCAAGCTGTGAATTTTGCAGGGGCAAGGACAATGGTCTGAAGCCACGGAGTCACCACCAGTGCTCTGGGACATGAAAAGGACGACATTGACAGCCACGGCTGTGCAGGGGGACAGGACCCTGCCTCAGACCCACAGCCCCACAGCTCTGCTCAGCTGGGAGGGAGAAGGGCTGAAAACCTTCCTCCGGCTTTCAAGCCTGTGTCTCACTTCCTATTCCTTATTGTCACCAGACACCAGTCCAGCTGCTGCTGCTGCTGTCCACGCCACCACAGAAATAGACGGCCTCGTCCTCGGCTTGGACCCCAGTGATGGTTAACGTGGCCGTGGAGCCAGACTGGGATCCAGAGAATCGCGGAGGGATGCCCGAGGGTCTCTGGTTGTTTTTGTAGATCACAGTGACAGGGGCAGTGCCAGGGACCTTCTGCTGGTACCAGCCATATGCACTGTTGATCCTGGAGCAGGAGGTCCAGGTGGTTACTCTTGGGGACATTTATATTGGCGGCTGCTGAGGCCATTCCTGGAAACCCAGAGAGGGAGAAGAGAGAGGGGAGAAGATGGAGGTCAGCACGTGCCCCAGGAAAATGGGGCTCCCCGGGAAGTGGGACAGTCACAGGACTCCTCTGCCTCAGGCACATGGATGGGACACCCTGGGGCAGCCCCAAGCCCAGGCGCTCCCCGACGGGTGGCTGTAGCCAGCACCTGGACCCTCACCCTGCTCCTCGGGGCACCCCTCATCCCTGTCACTGGGACGGGGCAGCCCCAGGGAACAGCCAGCCGTGGGCACCGACTGTTTGTGACACTCTGGAGACACCCCTGCCCGTGCCCAAAATGGGGCCAGGTCCCGGCCAGCAGCCAGGGGCTGCAGGGCAAGGGGTCCCCAGTCAGTGAGAAGCTGCGTGGAGACACGATGTGTGACAGAGGGAATGGGGTTATCTCCAGCACGGCATGGGCACGAGAAAGGAGGTGGCATCAGGAGAGAGCTGCAGACCAAAGCCTGCAAAGGCAGAGCCAGAAGAGGTGGAAGTGAAAAAGGGAACCCTCTGCCTACCATCTGCAGCTCCTCCCCTCACAGGGGAAGGTGTTGCAACAAACAGGAGGGAAAAAAATAATCTCAGCATCACCGTGACCCTCACCAGCATTGCTGCTGCTGTCGTAGCCACCACAGAAATAGACGGCCTCGTCCTCGGCTTGGACCCCAGTGATGGTTAACGTGCCCGTTCCGCCAGAGGAGGATCCGGAGAATCGCGGAGGGATGTTCGAGGGTCTGCTGCTGCCACTGTAGATCACAGTGACAGGGGCAGTGCCAGGGACCTTCTGCTGGAACCAGCCATAGCTGTTGCTGCTCCCGGAGCAGGTGATGGAGACGGTTTTTCCCACATCCACTGACACCTCGGTCGGCTGCTGAGTCAGCGCTGCCTGGACCAGGGAACCTGGAGAGGGAGAGGAGAGAGGGGAGAAGACGGGGGTCAGCCAGTGCCCCACGAGCACAGCCCTCCCCACGCAGAGGGACGGGGACAGGGGCCCTGCTCCATAAGTTCCTCATGCCACACAAGGACCCAAAGCAACACACACAGAGCTCTGGGGCTCTGGACAGAGCTGCCAGAAGCAGGGACAGAGAAGGGAGGGACAGAGCTGCAGAAAGGCCCCGGTCAGGGTACGGGCACGTTATGGGGGAGCGTAACCCTGCCCAGTCCAGAGCATCCCAGCACAGAGGCAGCTCCCACAGCAAGAGGATGATGGGGCCACCAGGAGCAAGAGGCAAGGCCCCGGGGACAAGGCAATGCCATGCCTTCTGTAGGGACAGATAATAAGGGCCCCCAAGGACAGAGTCACCTCCTACATGGCATGGAACAGCTGGGATAACATTCACATCACGTCCTTGGATGGGAATAGGAGCTTGGCCCAGCCCCACAGGCCTGTTCAGCCATGAGGGAGAAGGGCAGAAACCCTCAATTTTTAACTCCTCTCTATCTCACTTCCACGTGTCCCTGTGTCACTACACCAGGATTGCTGCTGCTCTCGTAGCTACCACAGAAATAGACGGCCTCATCCTCGGCTTGGACCCCAGTGATGGTTAACGTGCCCGTGGAGCCAGACTTGGATCCGGAGAATCGCGGAGGGATGTTCGAGGGTCTGTTGCTGTTACTGTAGATCACAGTGACAGGGGCAGTGCCAGGGACCTTCTGCTGGTACCAGCCATAGTAGCTGCTACCACCGGAGCAGGTGATGGAGACGGTTTTTCCCACATCCACTGACACTGAGGGCTCCTGAGTCACTGCTGCCTGGACCAGGGAACCTGGAGAGGGAGAGGAGAGAGGGGAGAAGACGGGGGTCAGCCAGTGCCCCACGAGCACAGCCCTCCCCACGCAGTGGCACAGGGACCCTGTCCTTAAAAGCCATGATACCACCAATGAAACCAGAGCCCTGGGGCCCTGCGAGGAGAAAGGGCAGCACAAGCAGGACGGAGCTGCCAGGAGCAAGAGGCATGGACGTGGGGAAAAGGCATGGCCATGGCTTCAGTAGGGAAAGCTTGAAGTGCTCACCACCCTTGAGTCACCTCCTGCACTAGGAGGCAGAGTTGGGTGGACATTTACAGCCATGGCAAGACAGAGATGACATAAATGTGCCCAATACCCACAGCACTGTTCTAAAAGCCCCTATTTTTAACTCCTCTCTACTTCACCTCCCCATCAGTCTGTGTCACTACACCAGCATTGCTGCTGCTGTCCCAGCTACCACAGAAATAGACGGCCTCGTCCTCGGCTTGGACCCCAGTGATGGTTAACGTGGTCGTGGAGCCAGATGCAGAACCGGAGAATCGCGAAGGGATGCCCGAGGGTCTCTGGTTGTCCTTATAGATCACAGTGACAGGGGCAGTGCCAGGGACCTTCTGCTGGTACCAGCCAGTGTACCAGCTGCTGCTGCTAACTCCGGAGCAGGTGATGGTGACAGTTTTTCCCACATCCACTGACACCTCGGGCTGCTGAGTCAGCGCTGCCTGGACCAGGGAACCTGGAGAGGGAGAGGAGAGAGGGGAGAAGACGGGGGGCAGCCAGTGCCCCACGAGCACAGCCCTCCCCACGCAGCAGGACGGGGACCCTGTCCCCAGAGCCCCCAGCCGGGCGCAGCCAGTTTGGCCAGGGCCCCTGAGACATGGGCGAGCACCGCCAGGAGGAGATCCTTCCATCTCTGTGTCTCCACGCCAATGGGGCCCTGTCATGGAACCCACCTCCATTCTAAACACCCCCCCTCCATGGAAATGTGCCCCACATTGTCCTCCTGGCAGCTCCCGTCCCCCTGGAGGCCTGTCTCTGGCTCACCAAAAGCACCAAGATCACCTCAGCCGCCAGCTCCCTGGGTACCTGCTCTTTCCCCAACGCAGCCGATGAGCTCTCTGCTCAGCCAGGGCCCACCAAGCGGCCAGTCCTTGCCCAGGAGGACCATGTCCTCATTGCATCAGGGACTCCCATGCCCAGGGGACAGCCCCACCTTGCCATGTGGACACATCCACCTGCTCCAGAGCCCCCAGTTCGGCAACTGCTGGCCCCTGGGCGGCCGTGTTAGCCACACACTGCTGAGCAGCTGTGACAGAGGAGCTGGGAAAACCAGGTCCTGCTTCAAACCGGGGTGCCACAGCTCAGCCTCTGCTCAGTGCCACAGGAGAACTGCAGAGAAGTGGGATTTTGAAGGGGACTGGAAGCACATAGGGGCCAGGAGCTACCCACCAGTCAGGGTCTGCTGGGACTGCCCTGCACCAGGGGGTGACAGGCTGCACCAGGGGGTGACAGGCTGCACCAGGCTGTCCCCAGCCACTCTGCCTCCCCCGGCGACCTCAGGCCCGCGCTGTGGGGCCGCACTGACACCGTGTGGGGACAAGAAGGACGGCAGGGACAGCACGGGAGGAGCCCAGAGCACAGCCTGGCACAGGACTCTGCCCGGGCTCTCCCTCACCCCTGCCGCAGCTCCCACCAAGTCCAGAGGCACCACCAGCCCCTGCCACAGCCTTCACGGCCTCTGCGTGGGACCCTGCCCAGGGCAGCCCCTGCTCACACGGCAGAGCAGCTCACACAGGCACAGGGACCTTGGCCACCCTTGCTGTCACCAGCGGAGGGTGGGCATCAGCCCTACAATGGTAGGGAGCCCAGGGAGCAGAGCGGGAGACCCAGAGGTGATGACTGGGATTCTCCCAACTTCTCTGGGACAAAGGACCAGCCACTGGACGAGACATTTTGAGGGCAGGGGCTACCAGTCGCACCACAGGTCTGCAGTACTGAGCTGTGCCACTTCCTCCAGCACCACCGTCAGGAGAGGAGAGAGGGGAGAAGACAGGGGTCAGCCAGTGCCCCACGAGCACAGCCCTCCACAGAGAAATAAGGACCCTGTGCCCTAAGGTCCCAATGGCACAGAGGGACCACTGCCCCACAGACAGAGCTCAAGGCCTGACCCCAGGGGCCCTGCGAGGAGGTGTGGAAGAAGCAAGACGACGTGGTCATCACCAGCAAGAGGCAATGGGGCAGGCAACAAGGCAATAACTTGACATTTCCAGGAGAGGCAAGAGGTACCGATTGGCATGGGACAATCAGCAGGACATTCACGGCCATGACATGCAGAGGGGACAAAACATGCCCCAGCCCCACAGCCCTGCTCAGCCAGGAGGGAAAAGGGAAGAAAAGCTCCATTCTTAGCTCCTCTGTAGCTCACATCCCCACCTCCCCGTGTCACTACACCAGCATAGCTGCTGCTGTCGAAGCTACCACAGAAATAGACGGCCTCGTCCTCGGCTTGGACCCCAGTGATGGTTAACGTGCCCGTGGTGCCAGACTTGGATCCGGAGAATCGCGGAGGGATGCCCGAGGGTCTCTTGTCGTTATAGTAGATCACAGTGACAGGGGCAGTGCCAGGGACCTTCTGCTGGAACCAGGCAACACCACTGCCACTGCTAAGCCCGGAGCAGGTGATGGAGACGGTTTTTCCCACATCCACTGACAAATCGGTCGGCTGCTGAGTCAGCGCTGCCTGGACCAGGGAACCTGGAGAGGGAGAGGAGAGAGGGGAGAAGACGGGGGTCAGCCAGTGCCCCACGAGCACAGCCCTCCCCACGCAGTGGGACGGGGACTTTGTCACCCCCCCCAACCACTCCCTACTCTTGGAGCATCCCTCTGAGCCAGCACAGCTCCTCCAGCTGCGCTCCCCTTCCAAGCCCAACGCATGGGCTGAGTAAAACCCTGGCAGCCATGGAGCCCCACTGCCTTCACAGGGAAGGACAGAGCTGCCCTCCTGGCCCAAAGGCTCCACAATGGTCAGCAAACACACAGTGCCAGCGCCAACATCTCATTGTGAGGGCGGGAGCAACCAGCCACACCACAGGTCTGCACTGCCAGGAGCTGTGTCACTTCCTGCAGCAGCACCCTCAGGATCGACGAGAACACCGCACAGCAGAGTCACCGTCACCCCAGAGCCACCCTGTGGGGCACCTGGATGATTATCAACACTGCCCTCCTGGCACCACAGAAATAGACGGCCTCATCCTCAGCCCCACAGCCCTGCTCAGCCATGAGGGAAAAGGGCAGAAAACATAAACTTTTAGCTCCTCTGTAGCTCATGTCCCACCTCTCTGTGTCACTACACCAGCATTGCTGCCGTCGGAGCCACCACAGAAATAGACGGCCTCATCCTCAGCTTGGACCCCAGTGATGGTTAACGTGCCCGTGGAGCCAGACTTGGATCCGGAGAATCGCGGAGGGATGTTCGAGGGTCTCTTGGTGCTATCGTAGATCACAGTGACAGGGGCAGTGCCAGGGACCTTCTGCTGGTACCAGCCAACAGCACTGCTGCTGCTAAGCCCGGAGCAGGTGATGCGGACGGTTTTTCCCACATCCACTGACACCTCGGGCTGCTGAGTCAGCGCTGCCTGGACCAGGGAACCTGGAGAGGGAGAGGAGAGAGGGGAGAAGACGGGGGTCAGCCAGTGCCCCACGAGCACAGCCCTCCCCGGGCAGCGGGACGGGGACAAGGACCCTGTGTCTGAAGACTATGGTACTACAGGGAAACCCAGAGCCTGCCACAGAGGGCAAGGCCAGAACCTCAGGATCCTGCAGAGAATTGGCAGCAGCAAGAGAACAGGGAATGCCAGAGTTGGTGGAAATGGGACCTGGCCATGGTTACAGGAACATTTGAGCAGCAGAGACCTGCCCAGTCCAGAGCATCCCAGCACAGACACAGCTCCAGCAGCAAGAGGAGAATGGGGGCTCCAGCAGTAACAGGCAGTGGGACTGGGTTGAACCCACACTATGCCTTTTGTAGGGACAGTGGTAAGGGGACCCCTTTCCCAGAGGCATCTCCTGCACCCCGGGCAGTGAAAGGGAGGGTATCCACAGCCATGTGCTAGGAGATAATGGGAACTCACCTCATCCCCACAGCCACGACTCTTCTGACCTACAAGAAAGAAGGGCAGAAGACCTTACCTTGACTCCATGGTTTGTCTCTCACTTCCCTGTTACTCGGTGCCTCCATCACACTGACCAGCATCACTGCTGCTGTCGCAGGCACCACAGAAATAGACGGCCTCGTCCTCGGCTTGGACCCCAGTGATGGTTAACGTGCCCGTGGAGCCAGATGTGGATCCGGAGAATCGCGGAGGGATGCCCGAGGGTCTGCTGCTGCTACCATAGATCACAGTGACAGGGGCAGTGCCAGGGACCTTCTGCTGGTACCAGCCATAGTAGCTGTAGCTGCTCCCGGAGCAGGTGATGGAGACGGTTTTTCCCACATCCACTGACACCTCGGTCGGCTGCTGAGTCAGCGCTGCCTGGACCAGGGAACCTGGAGAGGGAGAGGAGAGAGGGGAGAAGACGAGGGTCAGCCAGTGCCCCACGAGCACAGCCCTCCCCACGCAGAGGGACGGGGACAGGGGCCCTGCTCCATAAGTTCCTCATGCCACACAAGGACCCAAAGCAACACACACAGAGCTCTGGGGCTCTGGACAGAGCTGCCAGAAGCAGGGACAGAGAAGGGAGGGACAGAGCTGCAGAAAGGCCCCGGTCAGGGTACGGGCACGTTATGGGGGAGCGTAACCCTGCCCAGTCCAGAGCATCCCAGCACAGAGGCAGCTCCCACAGCAAGAGGATGATGGGGCCACCAGGAGCAAGAGGCGAGGCCTCAGGGACAAGGCAATGCCATGCCTCCTGCACAGCAGCTGCTGCCGTCGTAGCTACCACAGAAATAGACGGCCTCGTCCTCGGCTTGGACCCCAGTGATGGTTAACGTGCCCGTGGAGCCAGACTTGGATCCGGAGAATCGCGGAGGGATGTTCGAGGGTCTGTTGGTGTTACTGTAGATCACAGTGACAGGGGCAGTGCCAGGGACCTTCTGCTGGTACCAGCCAACATCACTGCTGCTGTAAAGCCCGGAGCAGGTGATGGTGACAATTTTTCCCACATCCACTGACACCTCGGTCGGCTGCTGAGTCAGCGCTGCCTGGACCAGGGAACCTGGAGAGGGAGAGGAGAGAGGGGAGAAGATGGGATCAGCCACAGGATGAGACATTTTGAGGACAAGAGCAACCAGTTGTACCACAGCTCTGCAGTACCTGAGCTATGTCACTTCCTCCAGAATCACTCTCAGTGTCGCTGCTACCCATCCATGGCTACCCTGTGAGGTACCTGGATGACACCAGCACTGCTGTCATCGCCACCACAGAAATAGACGGCCTCGTCCTCGGCTTGGACCCCAGTGATGGTTAACGTGGCCGTGGAGCCAGATGCAGAACCGGAGAATCGCGGAGGGATGTTCGAGGGTCTGTTGGTGCTATCGTAGATCACAGTGACAGGGGCAGTGCCAGGGACCTTCTGCTGGTACCAGCCAACACCATAGCTGCTGCTGCTGTAAAGCCCAGAGCAGGTGATGCGGACGGTTTTTCCCACATCCACTGACACCCAGGGCTCCTGAGTCAGCGCTGCCTGGACCAGGGAACCTGGAGAGGGAGAGGAGAGAGGGGAGAAGACGGGGGTCAGCCAGTGCCCCACGAGCACAGCCCTCCCCACGCAGTGGCACAGGGACCCTGTCCTTAAAGGCCATGATACCACCAATGAAACCAGAGCCCTGGGGCCCTGCGAGGAGAAAGGACAGCACAAGCAGGACGGAGCTGCCAGGAGCAAGAGGCAGGGAGGTGGGGAAAAGGCATGGCCATGGCTTCAGCAGGGAAAGCTCGAAGTGCTCACCACCCTTGAGTCACCTCCTGTCTCCTGCACTAGGAGACAGAGTTGGGTGAACATTTACAGCCATGGCAAGACAGAGATGACAAAATGTGCCCAATACCCACAGCACTGTTCTAAAAGCCCCTATTTTTAACTCCTCTCTACTTCACCTCCCCATCAGCCTGTGTCACTACACCAGCACCGCTGCTGCTGTCGTAGCTACCACAGAAATAGACGGCCTCGTCCTCGGCTTGGACCCCAGTGATGGTTAACATGGCCGTTCCACCAGAGGAGGATCCGGAGAATCGCGAAGGGATGCCAGAGCATCTCTTGGTGTTATCGTAGATCACAGTGACAGGGGCAGTGCCAGGGACCTTCTGCTGGAACCAGCCATAGTTGCCGTTGCTACTCCCAGAGCAGGTGATGGTGACAGCTTTTCCCACATCCACTGACACCTCGGGCTGCTGAGTCAGCGCTGCCTGGACCAGGGAACCTGGAGAGGGAGAGGAGAGAGGGGAGAAGACAGGGATCAGCCAGTGCCCCACGAGCACAGCCCTCCCCGGGCAGTGGGATGGGAAAGGCCACAGCCAGAAGAGAACAGACTCGGACACAGTCACAAGTAAATCTGGGGAATCTGGTCCCAGCCCAACACATGCCAGCAAGGAGGCAGCCCTGGCAGCAGCAGGAGGATGTGGTTGTCAGTAGCAGGAGGCAGAGGGGTGGGTGACAAGGCCACACTGTGACATTTTATAGGGATGAGGACAATGCCCCTCAGGAAGAGGGGAGACAAAGTAAAACTGCACCTCTCTGGGACATGAAAGGGAGGACATTGGTAGCCACAGCCATGCAGGGGGGACAGAAATCCACCTCAGCCCCACCACAGACTGCCAGGAGGGAGAAGGGATGGAAACCATCCTCTGATTTTAGGATTTCTGTCTCACTTTTGATTAGTCATTGTCACCAGACACCATAGCTGCCGCTGCTGTCGTCGCCACCACAGAAATAGACGGCCTCGTCCTCGGCTTGGGCCCCAGTGATGGTTAACGTGCCCGTGGAGCCAGATGTGGATCCGGAGAATCGCGGAGGGATGTTCGAGGGTCTGTTGTTGTTGTTGTAGATCACAGTGACAGGGGCAGTGCCAGGGACCTTCTGCTGGAACCAGCCATAGCTGCCGCTACCACCGGAGCAGGTGATGGAGACGGTTTTTCCCACATCCACTGACACCTCGGGCTGCTGAGTCAGCGCTGCCTGGACCAGGGAACCTGGAGAGGGAGAGGAGAGAGGGGAGAAGACGGGGGTCAGCCAGTGCCCCACGAGCACAGCCCTCCCCACGCAGTGGGACAGGGAAGGCCACAGTCGGAGGAGAACAGACTCGGATACAGTCACAGGCACATTTGGGGAGCTGAGCCCAGTCAAACACCCCCTGGGACAGAGGCAGCTCTGGCACCAGCACAAGGACACAGTCCTCAGCAGCAAGGGGCAGTAGGAAGGGCGAGAACACCAAGCTGTGAATTTTGCAGGGGCAAGGACAATGGTCTGAAGCCACGGAGTCACCACCAGTGCTCTGGGACATGAAAAGGACGACATTGACAGCCACGGCTGTGCAGGGGGACAGGACCCTGCCTCAGACCCACAGCTCTGCTCGGCCAGGAGGGAGAGGGGCTGAAAACCTTCCCCTGGCTTTTGAGTCTGTGTCTCATTTCCAATGTCAATGACACTCACTGTCGCCAGACACCATAGTTGCTGCTGCTGTCCCTGCTACCACAGAAATAGACGGCCTCGTCCTCGGCTTGGACCCCAGTGATGGTTAACGTGGCCGTGGAGCCAGATGCAGAACCGGAGAATCGCGGAGGGATGTTCGAGGGTCTGTTGGTGCTATCGTAGATCACAGTGACAGGGGCAGTGCCAGGGACCTTCTGCTGGTACCAGCCAACACCATAGCTGCTGCTGCTGTAAAGCCCAGAGCAGGTGATGCGGACGGTTTTTCCCACATCCACTGACACCCAGGGCTCCTGAGTCAGCGCTGCCTGGACCAGGGAACCTGGAGAGGGAGAGGAGAGAGGGGAGAAGACGGGGGTCAGCCAGTGCCCCACGAGCACAGCCCTCCCCACGCAGTGGAACAGGGAAGGCCACAGTCGGAGGAGAACAGACTCGGACACAGTCACAAGTAAATCTGGGGAACCTGGTCCCAGCCCAACACATGCCAGCAAGGAGGCAGCCCTGGCAGCAGCAGGAGGATGTGGTTGTCTGTAGCAGGATGCAGAGAGGTGGGTGACAAGGCCACACTGTGACATTTTATAGGGATGAGGACAATGCCCCTCAGGAAGAGGGGAGACAAAGTAAAACTGCACCTCTCTGGGACATGAAAGGGAGGACATTGGTAGCCACGGCAGTGCAGAGGGGACAGGAACCCACCTCAGCCCCACCACAGACAGCCGGGAGGGAGAAGGGATGGAAACCATCCTCTGATTTTAGGATTTCTGTCTCACTTTTGATTAGTCATTGTCACCAGACACCATAGCTGCCGCTGCTGTCGTCGCCACCACAGAAATAGACGGCCTCGTCCTCGGCTTGGACCCCAGTGATGGTTAACGTGCCCGTGGAGCCAGACTTGGATCCAGAGAATCGCGGAGGGATGCCCGAGGGTCTGTTGTTGTTGTTGTAGATCACAGTGACAGGGGCAGTGCCAGGGACCTTCTGCTGGAACCAGCCATAGCTGCCGCTACCACC